CAATACTTTAGCAATTTTCCATCGCATGATGGAGGAGGTTCTTTGCAATATACTAGAAATGACTACTGGCTTCATCAATGATGTCTTAATATACTTTGAGGGGACTAATGTGTTGAATCGGATACGGGAAGTGGGTTTAAAGCTGAAGTAGTCTAAGTGCATATTTGGGTCCAAAGACACAACTTATCTTGGGTACCATATTTCTCATAAAGGTTTGCAAGTTGATCATGACAAACTTATAGCTGTTTTAAAATTCCCTACTCCAAAGTGTGTGAATGATGTGCAATGCTTCATAGGGAAGATTCAGTATCTCAATCATTTTGTTGATCATCTTTCTGATCACACTACACCGTTGTGAGTGTTGCTGAAGTTGTCAACATCATCCTTCATATGGTTTGTAAATTATGAGCGGTGTTTACGAATCTCAAAGAGCTCTTGACAACTCCTCCAATTTTGGTATATTCTAACTATACTCAACTTTTTATTTTATATATGGATGCTTTTGATATTAGTTTTGGAGGTGTGTTGGTGCAAGAGAGCCTAAGTGTGCCTGATTAGTGCCATCCTATTACATATATCAATTGTACATTAAAACTTATGGAAATGAACTTCTCCATGATGAAAAAGGAGTGTTTAGCAATAGTTTAGGGTTTTAAGAAACTTCATGCATATCTACATAGTTCTTGAACGTTACTATAATGTGATTATGTTGTAGTTACTTCATTATTGAAATGGAAGAACTTAGTTTGTCGTACTACTTGATGGGCTTTGAACCTTCAGATATATAATTTTAATGTTGTTTATTGTTCAAAGAGTTTTATAGTTGATATTAATGCCCTTCTTCGAGCTCTTCTTCCTTCTTCACTTTCTTCTTATGTTTCTGATGAATTTGTTGTTCTAGCATCTATGGATTTTTTGGATGAGGATTCCATGTCATCGGCAGTTGTTGCACTTGATGTCAGTGTCTATAAGATGTACAACAAAATTTACCTTCTCTTGATGAAGTTCACGAAGCTCAAAAGATTGAGCCATGGATTTAAAGGCTTTGAGATGGGTTTAAGAATCTTATATTACTTACTGATGACTTGCTATTTTGGCATTTACATTCTTAATATCGACTTAAGGATAATCTTCTTTATTTTGTGAGGACAGATCCTAATGATCATTTATGACTAGTGGTGCCTTCAATTTTTATTCCATATTTCCTCTATGCTTACCATGATTCTCTTATTTTATATGGGCATATGAGACATTATCGTGTGATAGAAAAGTTGCATAGATCTTTTTATTAGCCGGAGATGCAATGTGATGTTTTCTGGTATATTCGTGGTTACATTTGTGCCAAACTCATAATACTCCCCCTTGTATTATGAAAGGATGGTTGTAGTGGTTAAAACACTTTGTACAAAAGGATTAGGAACAACTACCACCACCTACAAATCCACTAATGCTTCCTTGTGATGTTCCTTAATATCCTGGCCCATCTATAAGAAAATCTTGATGGTCTTCCATCATTTCTAGAGGAGGAGATGATATGAGGTCTAAGTGTATAATTACAATGCCAAATACTAATATTAACATATTGGGATTTTGGTACTTGTCAGATTAATTTCAATCTGGACCATAAGTATTTAAATATTCACTTAGATCCACACCAAATATTGGCCATAAATATAAAATACTTCAAAATAAAGTATATGAATTTAAAGTGTTTAGACTATTGGCACAAAACCTCTTAAATATAATTTACCTTTATTTTTGTAATATAAGAATTTATTTTCTATTAAAAAATAAAATATTATATCTTGGAGTTACATATAAAAACTTATATACCCCAACCCTTAACTAATTGGAAAAGGGAGTGCATTATTATTCATAGGCCCTTCCGTTTATATTTGAACTTTTATAAATCATTTATTCTCTTTGATTATTTACACCACCATATGGTTATAACTTAAAGACTTACCAAACCCTCCAAGGTTTAGGAGATAATCACTTTAGGCTTTTACCCTTTGATATGTATTAGTATTTGAACTCTAACTCAGTCTCAGACTTGATCTTAGATTTGGTTTTAGTCTTAGTCTTGACACTTCCTCGTCTCATAACACTTGCCATGTGTTAATCATTTTTTTATTCCTTTCTAAAAACTTTTATTGATCATTTTATGTTCTTTCCTCAAGTGCTTCTTTAGAAATTCCTCTCCTGCTTGCTATTTTTCAAGTTGTCAAGGCTAGAGCCAACTTAAGAATAAGATTTGGTTGAAGTTAGGAGTTTTTCCTTCTTTTTGGTTATAGTGGGGGAATAAAGGAATATTCAGCTGGAAAGGGGGTGTGTCTTTGGATCAAAGAGAAAACAAAGGGCATAGGTAGGAGACAGCACCAATGGGAAGAACTGGTGCCAGAGGTTGACAAGAGGGCAAATGACCATTTTCCAAGCATAACATGTATATAGGAGTGAAAGGAGTGGAATAAAAGAAAAGTTTCTTGGAAGGATGCTTCATCTAACAACCTTAGAGCATATGAAGTGGAGGTTAATATTGCAGTGGCAACTACAAACATTTAAGGAGCACATCATAGTGAAGATTCCTCAAGATCAACGAATCTATATGAGTTGTCCAACCTGTGGGCAACCCTAGGCTAGGATGTTGGTAGAAGTTCTAGCAGAGGTCACCAACGAGGCTAATGACAAGGCTAGGTAGCAATGCTTCTCCACTTCACTAATGTGTCATCGCGAGGAGTGACACAAGTTGAAACTTTAATAAAAATCTGTTACATTTGTTAGACTTTTGCTTTAGTCATTGCCATGTAACACACCTTTGGCTTGATTTCAAGACTTAAGGATTTATGTTTTACACCTAGTTAGTAAACACTATTTTTTATTGTTATAGTTTTGTTACATTGAAACTAAGTTAGAATAGCTTGTATTTCCTTAGAGGAAACTATTAGATTCTGGAAGCCAAAGTCTATATCACTATAAAATCCCATTATAAACACATAAATAAAACATTGATTACCTCATAAAATGCCATAAGATTTGCTATGTCTGCACAAATACAGTTAAAAGACAAAGGAAATCCAGTCAATGGGATTCTAGTATCTACCAAAGCAGCCAAGAGGCTTGCTAAACCTAAATTGGAATACATGAAGTACTAAACTGTGTAGGGTATATAGTTCTTGGAAAGGAAAGTAATTGCATTCCATTTTATCAAGCACTAAGACTTTCACTTGAACCACTACCTCTACATCATTCAGTTTGTTGCTGTGAAGAGAATGATTGATCACTGGTCTTCAAGCCCTAAATTAGAGTTGCTAAATGGAGAGGTCCTAAATTAAGCATCTGATTAAATCACAGCCATTCTTCATTTGGTATGGGCAATTTGACAATCAACATAAGAACATCTTCACTTTGTTTGGAGCTTAGGATTGCATACAAAGAAAGTCAATTTATCTAACCATTTCTTAAGAACTTTAAACCTATCACTTTGTTTGGAGCTTAGGATTGAAAGTCAAATTATATAACCATTTCTTAAGCTTTAAACTTTGGAATTTACCTCAAGCATGAACTCAAACCACGGCCTACAAATTCCACCAAGGATCTATCATGAAAACATTGTGGATGCCATCACACTCCAGTAACCTTGAGGCTGAGAAAAACAATTAGTGAGTCACTCCTCTTGTTGCTGCTAATGCCAATCTCAACCTTGAAACCAGCCTTTTGGAGTGGCCTCTCAATGAACTTGAGCATAGTGGGGAACCGGGAGACACTACCAACTTAACCAACTTGATATCATTGATTTGCTCAAGAATAGATATCAGTGCATTAATTTTGGCACTTGACTTCACCTGATGCCACTAGAGAATGCCCTAGAATCCTGTGAGAGCATGTTGGTAGCAATAAAGAGATTTGGGAGCTAAGAATCATGGCACTCTAGAAGCAATCTAGCAAGAAAGTCAAAGAGATGCAAATCTAGCATCTGTGATCGGGCATTTTGCACAGCAAAATTGGAACCCTAGAGAAGAAGGTTCAGCATGAATCACCACTCTCAAGTGACACAGCAAACCTCCACTGACTTTATGGCAGAATGCAAAAGGTTGTGTCAATGCCCTAGAATTCGGTCAACACATTACATGTACAACACCTTCTTCTCTCACCAGCAATTGGCAATCTCCCATTGGTTCAGGGGTTGATCTGTCCACCATGCAAATCAACATGATTATTCACTAAGATGTGGTTAAGAAAATAACCCTTTAAGGTCCAAAAAGTTATACCTTGGAAGGCTACTTTATTAAAACTCCCACTTCATTCTTCAATTCTTCATCTGCAGCTACATACCAGTTATACCCTGGAGGCATTTCTTCCTTGGATTTGTATAACTTGAAGCCTAGGCCTGTGATGAGAAATCCATGGAGTCACTGAAAAGCTTCCAAAATTTGAGATGCAAGAGGGCGAGGTGGCTCATGCACAATCATGATTCCCAAGTCTAGATGTTTTTTGCAGATCCGTTTGAGGTTTTTGTATTCAATCCGTTTGACTCAGAAACGAGGATGGTATTGCGGGAAGTTTGCTACCTGAACGATATAACCCACCTGAAAACATACACACATAAACATATAAAGAAACAGAGATAGAAAGTGATACAAACCGAAAGATGAATTCTCTTCATTGGTCCAGTGTAAGTCCTCTCTTCCCAGTATTCAATTCGCAGGGGATCTCTTGAACAGTGGTAAGTATTGTGTCCCCTTCACTAGGCAGAGGTAGCACTTCTTTTGTTCATGAGCAAAAGGATCCACTCTGGGTTTAAGAAATAAATAAAAAGTAAAATCTGGAAAATAAGTGAGCTTTCTTACCCCTTTGTAGTGTCTTTCCCAATCACCCCTCTGCTTACAATTTCTGCATTGATTGATGAGTAATCCCTCCTCCTCACCGGGACAATGAAGTCCTATGATCTCGTACCTATTACAAACAAAAGCAAGTAAAGATCAAACCATATCCTTGCTTACCTTGCTTGCATACAATCTTAATTGTCCTTGGCTGATCTCAAGAATAACCATCAAGTCCTGCATGTAGCCATTGGATCCTTTCAGTTCCTGATGAAGGGAAGAAAACAAAAATGTCAGACAAAGGTCATGAAACTTGTGTACCTGACGACCATTTTCTTCAAGCTACCAGACTTTGTAAAGCTCAACAGGAAAATGTTATCACCTTAAGCTTGCAGTCATACCATGGAAAGTGAAAAGATCAAACTCGTCAAGACCTGCATTGCTGGCTAAGATCGCACATATATTCCTTAAACTGCTTGTTAATTACTTAAGGATAACCACTCATTTTATTAACTTTATGATGTTTCAGTAGAGAGAGAGCATGCTCTTAATAAATGCAGGCTATTGTTGTCTGCAAGCAGAATGCTTGAAGACATGGCACTTCCAACTTATTCATTGCGGCTGTGTAATTGTAATATCCGCCGTGGTCCATCACATCCCAAAGAGAGGGATTTCCTGGGCACTGATCTGTGGAGAAAGGCAACAACCTTCACCCATGATAGTCAACCATGTACAGGCTGTCAAACTGAGTCTCAACTTAGCCTGTATGTTGCTTAGGAGCCCCAATGACGTGGAGTTGAAGAACACCCACATGACTCTCTATGAAAGTTTTGAGTTAAGTCATTATAATTTCTTTGTAAACTTGATCTTTGTGTTTAAAATCCCACATATCCTCATTTGGTATGCATTTTTAATCTTTTGGACCTTCGCATTATAAGTAGCTTTGTTGAAAGGGATATACTACTCTAGTGGACAATTCTATAAGATGGGTGGAAGAAGGCAAAAGTCCCTTTTAAAAGTAAACTCCCCTGGAATTTTATAAAAACTATAATTTTGCAGAGCATCCCTTAAAAGATAACTTATAAATCGAAAATGCTAGATAATAAAATGCCATATTATGTGTGTGCATTTTACTTTGACACATTTGGCATCTGCATTGGCAGAATGACATCATAATTTACCATATATATGTGTAGAAGATTGAAAGCAACCTCCTCAATCAGTGAAGCCAGAGGAAAGCTTCCTAGAGGTTTGAGGGATTTTTCCTGGACAAAGGTGCTTATTATCTTGTTATCTTGTTGAACCTCCCCGCTGAGAGAACCAGAGGCTAGGGCGCCACGAGAGGCTAGGTATATAGGCTTGTAGTGGTTTAATTTAATCGATGGCTAATTGATCAATACAAGCTTCAGGCTTCGCTGCTTTCGAATTGAAAACCCAGCACATGTACTGCTTCTTGACAAGAGCCACAGCTCTCTCCACTCGATCAGGGAAGCATCTGGATTCTGCCTGTATCTTCTGTAAGTCGCAGTCCGAGCCTCCGTGAGTATGTACGTAGCCGAGCGTTTCAAGCGCCACAGACTAATATCATCAACGAAGATGAAGAAAATGAGCTCTTGAGGCAGTCGGCAAAACCTGTAGCTCCCCCCGCTCGAGGCCACGAAAACTCCCATGGAAGCTTTGCATAGCTCGTCCATCTGCTGCACTATGAACTAGGCCACGAAGTCGACAATGGGAACACCTCCTGGCAGCCTTCGGTGGCGCAAGTCCATCCCTGTTCCAAGCTGGTTAGCAACGCAGTCGCGGCAAAAGCTGTGGCCTCGAGCCTCAAGTTTCTTCTCGTTGACGATTTGGGCATAGACACACCAAACAATCCTTTGCTGCGTCTATTGCCACTGCTACTGCTGGATTACTTCATTCTTCCAGATGCTGACAATTCGTGCTTTGCTTTCTCCAAGCACTCCTCGTCCCCATGCACGCACAAGGAATGCCACCGGTGGTTCATGCTCACTGCAGCTCCCACTGATTTTTCCAGCCCAGCTAAGTCGACCCAATCAGAGATCTCATCATCCCAAGAGGAGCTCTGAGATCTTCTGGTTGCATCTAACCAAGGCCGGTTTCCTCTTCAATCTTCTTTACCAGGCGAAGCTTCTCTCTCGAGGACAGGATCTTCATTGCAGCTTTATCCAGCAGGCCCTTTGAGAGGAGAGCCTTCCACCAGTTCTTCTGCCTTGCACCGAGCCACACCTTTCTCGTACGCCTTTGCAAATACCTTCACACAGTGGTTTCCGAGTGGAAAATTAAAATTGAATAAGAGTAGCATACCTTCAATGTCGCACCTAGTGTGTTATCCGTCTTGAGCTGCTCCATTCCTTTGGCGATATCAGCCAAGAGTAAAATGTAGACGGGAAGAGAAACTCCGCTTTGCATGTGACTTTCTGCCACCCCCCACAGACATCGAGAATCGTCCCTCAAGGCCAGCAAGAGCATTGCAGCCTCATGATCATTCCCGTTGAACTTGAACCAAGCTTTGGCCGACAAACCTCCCAATCACCTCGACCTCAAACCTGTCTGCTGGAACATACTCCCGGACCTTGGTCTCCAGGACCCGCTGGTACTCACTTATAGAGCGTTCACCCGCAGCTTTCTCATGAATCACGATAAGCTTCGTCATCGTCTTCCTACTCAAAGCTTCCAAGTCTTGCACGGGATCTAGATCATAGTTGGTGAAGCCGGAGATAACACACCGGGCTGTGAGCGCTGGCTGACTTTACACGTGACGTATGAGCCGCAGATCACTTTCCTGTGCTTGAAAGTATCACGGCAACGATGCAGCAAACGCGCCGGCCTCGAAAGTGTCGAGTTTCAGCACAAGTTGGGCAGAAGCTGTGACCAAACCCCACTTTGGCTGAGGTGACGCTCCAAAATCTGGAGATGCCTTCACCACTCGTCAAACACTGTCTCCAGACACGATCAAAGTCACGGAATCCCAGCTGCTTCTCGATGCACTCGTTTCGATGCGCTCGTTCTGAAGCCAGTGCTTCTGTCTCGCCACAGTTGCCATGACAGCCCACCACCAGACGCTGCCTGGCATATACGTGCAGCTCGTTCATGCGGCTCTCAATCCTGGACCTTGTTTGGCTGCCACCTTTAGCCTCGAGCTGCTTTTGTAGCAAAGCTAGTCCGCTCTGTTTTTTGCCGCAAACTCTAGCCATGAGAGTGTTCCCCAAGTTTGATATGACCGCTCTGTGAAGCCACGTTCTCCATAAAAGCCGACGTGACGATCTTCCTGATTGTCTCGTCACTTTGAGCAGACGATGACCAATCTGTAGGAGTCCACACATTCAATGCGTACTCCAGGTCTCTTATCTGTTCCTGGCAGCTCCTCAGTGACTTTGAAAGATTATAATTGTGAAAGGGCTAAATAGTCGCCCTAGACTACGTGACCAAAACAAAGTCAAGATCATGCTTTGTTTTAAACTAAGTATAATTAATTAGTACAGGATTAGTAATAATCCTAGGGCATTCATTCATTCATACAAGGTCTCACCAAGAATTCATCCATTCATTTGTATACTGTTTAGAAGAGAAGCATATTGAAACTCATCCAGTTCTCCATCATTCTTCAATTCTTCAATCAATGCTTCATCTGGCACTTCTTCCTTGGATCTCGAAGCCTAGGCTTGCTTCGTATAAAACTCCATCCAGTCGCTGAAAACATTCCCAGATAAGGACCGCAAGAGGACGGGGTGGCTTACGCACGATAAAAATTCCGAAGTCTGGATGTTTTTTGCAGATCCGTTTGACGTTTTCGTATTTAATTCGTTGGACGCAGAAATGAGGATGGTATTGCCGGAAGTCTGCCACCTGGACGATATAATCTTCCTGAAAACGCAGAAATAAACATATCAAGAAGCAGAGAATACAAAGTGATACAAACCCGAAGACCATGGTCCAATGTAAGTCCTGTCTGCCCAGTCCTCATTTCGCAAGGGATCTCTTGAACAGTGATAAGTATCGTGTCCCTTCGCTAGGCAGAGGTAGCATTTCTTTTGTTCACAAGCAAAAGGATCCATTTCAGGCTAAAACAAAAAACACGAAGTCAAATCTGGAAAATTCAGAATAAGTGAGCTTTCTTACCCCCTTGCAGTTTCTTTCCCAATGGCCTCTCTGCTTACATTTTCTGCATTGGTCGACGACCACTGCCACCATATCTTAACCAAAATTCCAATCCCTCCTTCTCACCGGGACGATGAGTTCCTATGATCTCGTACCTGTTACAAACAAAAGCAAAATCTCGGTTACCTTGCTCGTATGCGTTCGCCAGAGCTTTCGATTGCATAAATGTCTACCTCCTTCGGCTTTTCCTTTGTGAATGCATTGTGCTGCCCGTTGCTGCTGCCACCGTAAGCCTTCTTGTGGTGCCCATTGCTGCTGCTGCTGTAAGCCTTCATCCTCGAAAAGGAAACAAGTAGCTATATCAGAGTCCTCGTACTTAATCCAAGGATTTCAAAACCAAGCCAGGCGATACGCGACTGCAACGCCGCCTTGACGAGCAAATAGTCATCCAAATACTAGCCACTCTCTCCCAGAGCCAGCCCGCTGACGATATCCGCTTCAGCCACGAAAATCTTTGCAATGATCACCTTTCCTTCGGGAAGGAACTCCGGTGTTTTGGTTTCCAAACGCGTTAAAGCTCTTAATTTCTATATACAGGACTTGTTGAAAACATCTTCAAGAACACTAGGAAGGTCATCTTTGCTTGATTCCACTAAAAGTACCTCTTGAGAAAAGAATTGTTTTTGCAGTAAAACCAATGCTCCCACAAGCAATTTTGGCCTCTCTCAGAGAACATTTAAAAAAATTAACTCTACATTTAAAACCAATGCTATGTGCCAGTACAAGCAATTTAATCAAACTCAACAATTTCATCAAACGCTTCCGGTCTGTGTTCTAAAAGCTGTAAGACCTGTTTCTCTTTCCTAGCTTTTTCCTTGTCTGAGATCTTGGAATTCTTGATGGCCTTTTCAAACTTCTCCCAATTGATCATGGACAATACCTCCGGCTCTAGATTGGTGAATATTGTCCTCCTCTCTACAATTTCATCTGCGCTCCGGACCACATACTTCTGTAACCCACAAAACGAAATCAATCACATAACAACTAAAAAAAAATATTAAAAAAATTACAACCTGGATTACTTGTTCCTGCCCTTCCCATATATGCCTGACCATGAATAAACCCTTTTCAGTGGGAGGGACATACTCAGAGCGCTCCAACTTTACCAAGTAGCCATCCAAATATCTCGGACAAACACTACATTGAAACTGTTACATAAAGAAAAAAACAAAAAAAAATTCTTGCCTCTTGTATGTAATGGGGTAGACATAGCGACCCAATACTCCACTCATCTGCACTTTTTAGTCAGATACAAGAATAAGGGAATTTTGAATCCTAAATAATACGCACCTGACATGGAAGAACATCAAGAACATCCTCTACACCATCATCTAGGTCAAAGTCATCACGGGTTCTCCTCAGCGCATCTATCACCTGGAAGCCCAAGTTAGTATTTCCATGTAGTGAGTCAAAAAACTTACTTCTTGGCGTTCCATCGCAAAGGAATAGGGCACAATCTTCCAAGCAGATATATATAATAGCAAAAAAGGCGAAACGAAAAACTAGGGCAAATCGGCTCTTTTAGGGTTAGGGTTTGTGCTATGAGCCGGGGCGTGTGCGTGTCGATTGTGCCCGCTGGCTCAAGTCTTAGCACGGATGAAGCTGATCTTCGTACTCGGGGGCAAATGTCGGTACTTCCGCCTGATGTCAACGACTTCGGCTCGCTGCAGGGGTTTGTGTCGACTCTGCCAGGGTTTCCCAGTGGTTCTACTTGCAGTTACTTAAGGACATTCACTTTCGGGAAGTTCACAACACAGGGCTGGGCATACTTCGCAGGAGAGCTGCCCGAGGGGCCGGTAATTTATGTCAAGGTTGAGATCGCTCCGCCACCTTCGGTGCCAGGCAGTCGCTCCTTGGATGCGATTTTTGGCGAGTGGAAGCTTGCGTATGGAGATTTTATCACGAAGTTCTTGCAGCAAGGGGGCCTTGGGTTGCAGCCACAGTGGGGAGTTCCGGTGGGCTTCGATGGTCGCCCGTCGATTTTGTTTCACAAGTTGCAGGATAGATGGACTAGGGATTCAGATGCGTGGAAGCTGCTGGATTATGCACTACGGTCGAAGAAGTCGGGCTGTATTCCGCTCATGGGGGTTAGCGGATGCGGGAAAACTCGCACTGTGTTCGAGATTCTGGCAGCCCACTGGGGTTTTTTTTGGACAGCTTCATCTAAACGGAATGCGGGGTCTCAGGATATGGCACTAGTTGGGAACGCGGAGCCTGGTTCTGATCCCGAATGCCGGAAACATTTTGCTGCTGTCATAGAGATGAAGAAGTTGATACTGGCTCGTTTGCTGGTTCTTCAACAAGTCCTCAGCATGAAACCAGACTTGACACCAGAGCAGTGGCTTATTCTCCAGACGGAGTTCAACCATTTTTGTGGGACGGAGGACCCTTACAAAAGGCTCGCCATGATGCTGGTTAGCAGTTACGAGTTCCAGCAGGGTGACTTGATCCGTCTATGGGATGCAGTTTGCTCAATGCTGTCCTGCAAGCCCATCTTTGTCATGGATGAGGCGCAGACGCTCAACGGCACGCGCTGTTTCCAGTCCCCTCAGAGTCACCAGCTGATGGCCAGGTTCTCTCCCGTGATGAAGGCGCTAATGGACGTACAGTTGGCTGCACCGGTTTTCGCAGCAGGAACTGGGATCAACTTCTTAGAACTGGAAAACGATATCCTTTCACTAGTGGGAAAGATGAGGGGTGCCAGGTTACCACTCTACGTGATCAAGTTTGACAAATGGGAGAAGCCTCGTGAAGTATACGACTTCTGTATCAAGTACCTGCCAGTGCTGGGGCTCACTGCACGTAATTGTGCTCTTCTCTTTAGCAAGTTCAAAGGGCGGAAGCGGTGCTTGGTTACGTGTTTGGAGGAGTTGCTCCGCAATGGCTGCTGCTGGAAGAAGGAGACTGTCGATGCTTTTTATGCGGACCTGACCACTGGTGATTCAAGCGACTTCTCTATGTCCCTGTATTCCATGGTGGCCAGCTTCTTTCAAACAGGCAAGGGCACATTCAGGTTCCGGGGACGGGACTTGTCGGCAAGAGAGCTTGTTATGAGAGCAGTTAGTCATTACTGCTTCTCAAACAGGGCAGGACTTGTTCTCGACTCGGCTGAAGCCCATTTACTCGTGAGTGGCCTGGGTTCGTGTGAGAGGGTTCGTAGTTGGGAGACCAGGTCTTCATACGAGATCAGCGAGCCCATGGTACTGGCGGCTATGACAAACTACTGCGTCGATAATGATCATCTCGAACGGCATCTCCAAGTTCTGATGCAAAGCCTGGTCGACGATCCTGCAGCATGTGGAAACCTGTGGGAGAAGCTCGTGGTGATTCATATCCCTCGCTTCTTGGATGGCCAGAAGCCGCTCAACAGTTGGCCATGCTTTAAGGGGTTAGATCTGCGGAACTGGGGCGTATGCGTGCCTAAGTTAGCTGGGCTTCGCAAGCAGGTTTGGAGGGAGACTCCAGCTGCGCCTCTTTCTGCATACTTGAAGTTGCCTCCAGGCCAGCGTCCGATGTTCTTTATGTTTTCCTCATTGTCTGGGCCGGACATCATGTTCTTCGTCATGCTGGGCGACTTGCTCGTCCCCGTCTTCCTCCAGCTCAAGCTAAGACGGCAGGTGCAGTGGGATCAGGCGGAGGGGACAACAAACCCGTCGAAGATGTACAGGCGGACGTCCAAACAAGTGTCGACGGCAGCTATTCCAGCACTCAAAGAGGCTTGTTTTCACGGCTGCATATCTTTGGTGGTCGCTTATCCAGCTTCTGATCCAAAGGCTCCAAGGTGGCTCGCGAGGAGGCTGGTGGGTTACTTGGGGAAAGATGAAGTTAAAGAGATTTTTTCCTCTGAGCTATGCGACTTCTTGGCAGCGATCAAGTCTGATTTTCCTGACTACAAGCTAGCAGCCATGGTTCTTCAATGTAAAAAGAATGAAATCGATGTAAATTAAACATATATGGTTCTAAGCCTTCAAAATGTCGCCGTCTGTGGGGATCGAACCCACGACCACGTGGTTAAAAGCCACGCGCTCTACCGGCTGAGCTAAGACGGCTTTATAATCAATAATAATTACATTCTAATAATAACGTGTTAGTAAGTAAGATTAAGTTGCAAGCAAGTTCTTCAAATGGTCTTTGATTACAATTTAAATCGAAGGGAGTCGAAGAACTGGAAGTAACTTCATGCCACTCTTTTCCGCCAAATTCGACCAGCTAGAAGTTGGGAAGCATCCGTTTGAGAAGCTCCAGTTGTGTCTCGTCGAAATACTCGCCGAGTTCATCCCTGGATACCCACGCGTAGTCCTTGGACGCTGCCACTTCTTTGCTCGCAACGAAGTGGGATCTGTAGTAGAAGCGCTGGAATTACGCACACAACAAGTCAGTCCTAGAGATCGCTGCTTCACAGTTGTGTGATGAAAACTCCGTTTTTCCATCACCTGAAAGTCGGGGCAGTCGAGATGTCCGCCCGGGGCTTTTCCTGCGAAGTAGACGTCGGAGAGGTCGCCTAGAAACGTCTCGAGAGCCGACTCTGCGCACTAGAACATTACACGCAGCGTTGCGAATGTTGCTCGCCACGAAAGAGAAAGAGTAGCACCTTTCTTAAGTTCATCTCGTCCACGTACTTCTTCTCTGGGAAATGCCATTCTTTCTGGCCCTTGTAAGGCGAGTTTCCACGGACGATCAAGTACAGCCTTTGATCCAATAGTCTCTGCAAAGATCTTCAATCACCACATTAGAGTTTTCAATCCCTTGAAGCAAGAGGAAGAACTCGCAAATTTACTTTCGATCGGTGGACTGGACTGGTGCTACTTTTGCTTGATCAGAGGCAGCAGGAGCAGCACGCCCTCTAGAGAAAAGAAGAAGAAGAGAGAAAGCAAACAAAATCGTGAGAAAAACGATCTCTTTTGAATGGACTTACTTCATATCGTCCAGTGTCTGCTCTAGAATGTCCACCTCTCCGATGATTTGCTTCCATTTCTTGCTGCAATGCGAGGTGAAAACCAATGAATTCTTTGCTGGATCTAGAGCGGAACTTACGAGAGCTCCCTGAACGAGGCGACTGTGGGATGGGGCGGGCGCGGATACAATGGCAGGCGCTCCAGAACAGCCGCCGCCACAATGGGCTTGGATGCCGCAACGCTGCTGTAGAGACGATACCGTGATTTACCCCTCGCCACACCCAACATTCTTCTTCCTCCTTGTCATAAACCCTAAAACTCTAAGCTTACTTAATATGTAATACGTTATTATTAGAGGATAATTATAACTTATTATGATGTAAAGCCGTCTTAGCTCAGCCGGTATAGCGCATGGCTCTTAACCACGTGGTCGTGGGTTCAATTCCCACAGACGGCGAGATATTTGATTTTTGTTATGCGCGGGGTTTATATTTGCTTCTTTTAGGGCTTAGCGGCTATGGCTGTCATCGTGGGAGCTGGCCCGTCGGGCCTCCTCCTCGCACATCTTCTTCTCGATTGCGCCGCGGAGAAGGATTCCCTGCGTGGATTGCTTCCGGTCAGGATTTTCGAGGCGCGCGACGATCCGAGAATCCCATTGCCGCTGTGAGTTTGTAGGAAATATTTTGACAGAATGCGGGCTCTATCGTCTCGATTGGTGATGCCGCCAGGTACAAGACGCGGCAGTATTGCGTTGGATTGAGCGCCCGCGGCCGCGATGCGATCTCTAGAGTGGATGGATTGTGGACCGAGGTGGAGAAGCAAGGGGTCCCCTCTTCGCAGTTTGTGTTGCACATTGGCGGCCGAGCGATTGCCCTCAAGAGAAACCCGGACAAACCTTCGCTTCTTGTAAATCAAAGATCTCTGGCAGCGGTGCTTGTCAAAGAACTCCAGAAACGTTACTCTCAAGAGCAAGTCCAGGTAACTTCGATTTTTCTCCTCTCTTTGCTTCTTTTAGATGCATTCTTCGTCTTACCTGGACGCAAATATATATTTTTTTTCCAGGTGATCTATGGTGCTCGCTGTGTTGGGGTCGATTTTAACTCTCGAGCTGTAGAATTCCGACTTAAAGGTGACGAGACCATGCAAGTTCCCTACGATCTCTTGGTTGGTGCTGATGGTGCTCGATCGGTCGTTCGAGAAGCTTTCATCCGAGAGAGAGGCTTTGATTTCCAGCAAGTAAACACGCCTTATACTTTCAAGGTCTTGCACGTCCCGAGGCCGGCAGAGCTCTCGGATGATGCGGTTCATTCGTTCAGAGTGGTCACAAAGAAGGATTCAGGTGATTGTAACTGTCCTATCCGTTTTTTCTCGAGTTTGCTTATGTAACAGGTAGTACGAGCATAAACTTTGGTTGCTTCCCGACGCCCGGCGATGGCATGTCCGTTCTTCTGGGATGGTCTCCTGAAACTGAGCCGAAGGATTTATTGCAAATCCAAAACGCTCAAGAGGTAATGTTCAAGAGGGATTCAAGTGTTTGACAGATCAATATGTGACAATGGCAGCTGCAATCTTACGTTGAAAAGTACATGCCGCCACTTTCAGTGCCTCTCGAGGCTGCGGAAGCATTCATCTCGCAAAGGCCATCATCTTCAATGCAGGCAAGCGCATAGTTCTCTTCTCGTATCCATCGAATATTTTTTCTTTTTCATCAGGTCTCCTGCAGCAGGTTCTACGCAGAAAAAGGTAGAGCAGTGTTGATTGGCGATGCGGCCCATGCCATGTCCAACGCTCTAGGCCAAGGCTGTAATTCTTCTCTCAAGGTAAGACTATAACAGCTTCAAGCTTGACCATAGCTATGGAGTTGCTAGGACGTGGACACTTTCACTCGAATGCTCGTCGAGGAGGGAGATGTGGTTTCAGCAATGAAAAGATACTCGACACAGCAAGTTAAAGAAGACCACGCTGCAGCGTACTTGTCCCAGAACGCATTCCCGGAGTCGAAATGGCTCCGCCCGGCTTATCTTCTCGGTAACATAGTCACCGCTGGTCTGAGCAAGACTCCACTCTCGGCACTGATCCCTCCTTCCATTCAAAGCCTGTGCTCGGAAACACTGATCCCATACTCGGAGGTAAGAACTTCCAAGCTTTTCAGCACTCGCTGACACCGTTCCTTTTGTTCGGTTTGTAGATTGTGAACAGGAACAAGTTTTGGTTGAAGCTTGTAGAGGTAACGAATTTACTTAGTGCCAAGGAGTAGAAGCTATCTAGTCTTTCGCTCGGACTAATCGCTGCCCAGTTTTTTAGCTCCATTCTCTTCATTACCAAAGAAGAGTTGCTTGCTCCCTCGCATGGAATTCTCAAAGCAATTATTTTGGCATCTACAAATCAGGTTTTCCGTTCTTTGTTCGTCTTTTCTCGTTTGGTGTCTAAGCGTTCTACTAATTGCTCTAGAGTTGCTTTACATTTACCGCGTTTAATCACTTTGGTAGGGTTTAAGAGGAACATTTGGGCGCGAGCGGGATTTCTCACTATCTGTGCCGGGTAAGTTTTTTTCCTCGTTCCCGCGCTCATTCTTTTCGGGAGATCTAGCATTCTTTCTTCCCAGGAGCGAGAAAAGATGAAGCCCAGGACTCGGCAGCGGCTGAAGGCAGCCCAAAAACCTTTGGAATCGAAAGGGCCCGAGGTTATTGTGATCGAAGACAGCGATCAGGAGCAAGACGACGCCATGGCTGTCAAGGAAAACCATCGCCCAAGCCCCATTGCTGCGATGCAAGCCAGCGAAAACTCTCCAGCGCTAGAGGCGGACAAAGACAAGAAAAAGAGCGGCAGTGCTGGCGTTGTTGGTAGCCGGATCTATGACTCCGACAATGGAACTTCGTGCCACCAGGTTTGCTCTGAGCTTTCTATTGAAATATTCTTTCTATTTTAACCATCACCTCTCTCTGTCTCAGTGTCGACAGAAAACTCTTGGACTCATGGCGAGCTGCAAGAGTGAAGAGCGATCTTGTAGCTTGAACTTCTGCTCGAAGTGTTTGCAAAACAGGTATATTTTTCCTTGATTTTCTTTTCTAGTTTCTTCTCTTTCTTTTCAAACAATTTTTTTTTAGATATGGTGAAGATGTAGCAATTGTGAATGGTTTGAATGCTTGGACGTGTCCAAGGTGTCGTGGGATATGCAACTGTAGCTATTGCATGTAAGAGTGAATTCGAGTTATAAACGTGAGAGTTATGGGAGAGTTAGTGTTACTGCATTTTTTTTGCTTTTGTTTTTGTAGGAAGAAGAAAGGTTGCAGCCCAACCGGGATGGTGTCACATCTCGCCAAGTCGATAGGATGTGCGTCCGTCGCTGAGTTCTTGACATCAGATCCGGCAGATCAGGTGCTTTACTGTGATGGTTTGCTAATATGTTTCACTGAAGCTTCTTTGCGGCAGGGTAAAAGCATCGAACTTAAGAAGTTGGAGTTAGAGGAGAAAAAGCCAGTGGAAGCTAAGCAACGTAAAAGAAAACGAGTACTAGCGGAAGCGAGTATAACTAATGTTCAAGCGAACACTGACATGGCCCAGGCTGACTTGTTAGAGAAGAGAAGTATAGCAGACAATGACGAGAAGAAGGCAAAGAAAGCCAGCCGGAAGCGGGTCCTGGCCCGAACTAGACTGAGTAAACTCGAGGGAGACGCGGCGTTGCGAGAAAACAATTCCATCACGGTCCCGCGATTGGACAGTTTGTCGGAGGTACAACCAGAGAGAACTGTAAATCCGACACTCGCAACGAAGCTGTCAAAGAAAAACGCAGATGCGGAAGAGAAACACGAAACTCGAGATCTATTAGTCGAGCTCAACATCGACCTGGCCGCGGAAAGCACAAAAGCCCAGGAAATAGCTCTTCCCGACGGTGAAGCACTCAAAACCGTAGCTGGAATTGAGCTGCCGCAAGAGTTGATTGGGCCAGCACTTCAGCTGCTAGAGTTCTGCTCGGCTTTCCAAAAGGTTTGTGATTTCTTTTCGGTTTTTACCGCTTGCCAACCATACTTTCAGCTTCTTTGTTTGCGAGACGGCCAAGCGGAAGATGCGTTGCAAGAAATGAATCAAGGATTGATGTCTCAAAGGGGTCCGCTTGTTCATCTGCATGTGAAACTGTTATCTTTTGCGTCGGAGGATGTCAGCGAAGGGTAACTTATCGTTTTCGTGCGAGAGTAGTTTAGTACTTTTTTTAACGACGTGGTTTTCCAGGAGTTTCTCCGCTCCGACAAGAGCTTCATGGCTGGAGTCGCTTAAAGACTATGTGTCACGAACATCTTCAGGCGTAGACGCAGTTGTAAATGCCTTGGAAAACGGTGTTGATGCCTACGAGAAGCTGGAGCTACACACAAAGCTGCACTTACTAAACAGTCTCTGTGACGATTGTCTCTCCACCGCGTAAGATTAGACTCCCTCGAAACTATGTACTGATTCTCTACGTCTGCAGGAGATTCAGGGAGTTTATGGAGAATGCTGCCAACGTCAAGGTCCAGCAGCAGCAAGCAAACGATGAGATTTCAGCTGCTCGAAAAGAGGTAGTCCTTTTGATGTGTAGATTGATATCAAAATTTAAAGTTTCTTCTCCAGGTGAGAGCTGCTTTGCAAAAGACAAAAGCTGCCGAGGCAAAAAGATTGCTGGTCTTGGAAACAAATGGGAGTTCGCTCACTGCAGACCAATGCAACTGTCTACTTGCAAAAGTACGTATGCAGGAGCAACGATCCATCGCTGCACAGATGGCGCTAGCGGAAGTGGTCTGCAAATCAAGTAAGATCGTGTTTTCGTTTTCTCTTTTTCTTTTTTGTTTTTGTTTCTTTTCCTTTGGAGCTCTCATCACCTATGACTTTTCTTTTGCTCGCAGAGATGCAGCAGTGTAACGCTCAAAGAACAGAGCCTGTAGCTACTGTCGGGTCGCGTATTTTTTGGAAGTTGAGAGGTGCTGACCAGAGAAGCATAGTGGTGATCCAAGGTAGGCAATCGAAGCATAATTTATTCGGGATTGGAGGTATTGATTTTGGCTGCAATCTTTTCTCCTTTTACTTTGTAGATGTCTCACGAGGGGAGAATCGCAGCGCACAGGAATCCTGGTCGAGGTACTCGCGAGACGAGGAAGAAAAGCTGATCAAGTTTATGGCGTCTGAGAGGTATGTTTTGGTTGGACTAGTGTTTCTTATATGTTTTTTTCCTGATGCTAGACTCAAGATCCAGAGACTCTCCGCAAGCAAACACATAAGTGTAGATGCTCTGTAGGGACTAAAAAACCATTTTCCTCGCTGCGTTATTGTTGAAACTCTTGCAATGCTCTCACGTTTCTTGAGGACTGTGATTTTGTTTATGGATCATGTCATAAAGTTCGTGGCTATAGAAAAATCGCTATTTACATTCTTCTAGATCCTCAGCATAAGATTCTTTTTCGAGAAATTCTCATGGGAACGACTTTTCGTACAAAGTTTTATTCTATACATTGTCAAGAGTAAAATCTACGTACTTCTAAATTCTTGCCCGTGTAAAAATGTCATCTTTGGGAGGAAAAAAACAGGAGAGAGGAAAGAACAGTTTAGTAGAAGGTCAGCTCTCTGGGCTCCAAAGTCGTTTTTGTACAAAGGTCCGTTATGTAGCAGAGTTTCTAAGAGTTGTAACACAGAGGCATAGGAATGTGTGTTATTTGGACGAGTTTTAGGCGTCCCCAGTGGCCATGGTGAGCTCCAACTTGACACCGTTTGGAGCTTGGATTGGGTCAAGCAGCGCCAGCTTAAGTCTCTTTAGATCCGAGGCAGTGACCATGGGAGCTTTGCCGCTGGGCCTTTGGTGCTTTGTCGGTGAGGACAAAGACAAGGTACTATCAACTTGACCCATCGTCTTAAAAAAGCCCGGGCTTTTCTCCTCGAGATTATGCTGGCCAAGCACGATCCAATTCCATCGTTAGTAGTGAGTCTTCAAGCTTTAAAAAAAGAAAAGAAAGGTGGAGCTTCTTACCTGGGGATGGAAGTTGAAGTTTTCGTGATGCTTCATGGCGCTCCTGCTGCCTTCCAGGATCTCGTCAAAGTGGATCAGCGCGGGGCAGCTGTTTATCCTGTTCTGGGAGAGGAGAATGCTGGAATGTATCCGGGATTCCTCTCTCTCTAGCGATCGCGAGCGCAGAGTGTTATCATCTCCTCCAGTTTGCTGGAAGAGAGTGTGATGGTTTTTCCTCCAGCCAATCTGGAGATCGTTAAACCGCTCGCTGTAGCACTTAGTGGCCGCGATTGACAGTCTCGAGAGCCACTCCTGTGATTGATTTGGACTGGCGATTTGGCTCCATGCATCCTCCGTCCTGCAACGAGGAATCTTCACCGTATCAGAAACAACCACCGCTCTTTCGATCGAGGAGAAGGCGAAGTAGTAGAAGAAGAAGTTCTCTCTTTTAGGAGGCCGTCGCTATCCTAGATGGTGGTTCCACTCAAGCTTACGTTGAATTACCTGGCATGACAATCCAGTGGCTGAAGAACTGGTCGATGGAAGTAATTGTGAGCGTAGTACTGCTGCTGTGCATTAGGATTGTCCCGGCATTTCTTCTCGCCACGGATTTGCTGGAGCTGCGGCGTCCAAGGATGGTGAAGGAGGCTGGCGTCGCTGGCTACGGCTGCTTGTGCTTGCTCGCCTTTCCTCTCCTCCATGACCACTGCATCACGCAAAAGCTTTAGTAGCGTCAGTACAAGGAGGAAGAAGAAGAAAGAGATTTCTCACCGGGTCCGTTCTCGTCGTTCTTCATGCTGCGGTACATCTGCAAGTTTCCACAGAAGAATTTTGAGGATTTCTTGCTGGTTTCGCGAGAGAAATTGCAGACCTGGAGATGGCTCTTGACGTGCGCAATTGTGAGACCTTTGACGCCCATGAGTTGCAGGACGAGCTTTGGAGTAGCTCCTACATAGATGCAAGAACTTAAGAACCATAAAAGAAAGAAAGAAAGAAGAGGTACTGACAATCAATCTACCATTCAATCAATGAATTGCTACTGCCACTATTGATTGATGGAACTCAAAGAAGAAGAACTTAAAAGAGAAAATCTATGCCTTTGCAGTAGAATTCCACTTACTGTCTTGGCCGCCCAGTCGGTCCACCGCGCGGACGAAGCACTCGTGGAGATCCGGAGTCCATCGCAAGCGGGGCATCTTGGATCGAATGTACTGCCTCACGCTGCTCCTCGCCGACGACGATCCAAACGGGCCGCCGAGCACGGTCGCGCCATCGCTGCTGCCATCGCCACTCACGGTGTTGTTGCTATCCGAAGATCCTGGCGCGTCAAGATCGTCCTCCTCCACGGACGACAGCCTCTTCCTCGAGTTGTGGAGCGGGGGGGAGGAAGCCCCTTGATCCATCTCCACTTCCAGCTGCATTTCCCGATCTCGCGCACGCAATTCCCTCGATCAAAACGCGATTTTGAGCGCGGTGGTCGACCGCCACAGCAGCAGCACAGCGACCACCTTATCATAAACTTGTCAAAACCATCTCTTTTCTTTTCCTTTCCCTTGCGCGCTGCTCGGCCTGCTAGAGAAACTAAGCAACAAGAGGACGAACTAGAAGAAGAAGAAGAGGATGGAGAAGCTTTGGCGATGGAGGTCAACACGAGAACTAGTACTAGCTACCTGTACGATGGGAGACGCACAAAAAAACGAGGGCGCGACTGTGGGAGAGGGAGGATGACATAGCCACAAGAATTATGGCGTGGCAAAGAACGAGGCGACCCAACGCACGGACAGTGACCAACAGTGGATCTTCTCTTCCAACCAAACTTCCAAAATCATATATGTATGTTTCAATGACATTCCGGTGGATCCATAGAGGCGGCACGGAAGGATCTCTCTCTCAAGGCGAAGCGGTGGAATTCTTCGCGATCTCGAGAGGAAGTTTTGGTCGCATCACGGCAATGAAGGAAGAATCGTTCTCTCTTTCTCTCTCTCACTCTCTCTCGCTATTTCGCTATTTCTCTGCGAAGAAACTGGAGCTCTCGGGCGAGGAAACCGGGCTTTGCGACAGAGGGGCCTCTTCTCGTTTATATATTATGTGGAGAGATTCTTAAAAGGAGGACACCGGCACTGGGCGACGAAGCCAGCCAGCATTCTTTACTCTCTATTTTCTTTTTTTCTATTTTTTTCTATTTTCGTTGTTTGGTATTTTTGTAGTAAACGTTTTAGTTGTTTTAAATTATAAATTAATATTTGAAATTTGTCGTTCCAGTTCTTGTGTTGACGGGAACAATGCGGGTCAACTTTTAAAGCTTTGTATTCTTCTCTTTTGGTTGGCTTCAACATACATACGATTGCTAGTTTGGACGAGAAGTTTTTAGTCAAGGATACGTGGAATTTGTAGCTTGATTGCAGCTCCTTTCCTCGGGGGACCGCGCAAATTCTTTGGCAACGAGAGAATTTTAGTGAGGGTGACACGGTCGCTAAGAACTGGGAACAAAAGAAACGTAAACAGGGTGGTTTCTACGGTTCTAGAACCACACGAGATTCCATTAGTAATTTCAACGAAGTACGGATATGGTCGAGATGAAAATCATACAAAAGTATACAAATAATGTAGAAATATAACCAGAGAAGAAATTGGAGGCATCATGGGCGAGAGTAATGGAGGGCCGAGTTGTTTTCGGTTGGAGAGGAACGCAAAAGGGGCAAAAACCAACGACCCCGAAAAATCGAAGCGTTTTTAGGTGGTGGCTCACGGGCATGACGACGGCGCGAAACCCTCGCGGCTTCTTTATTCCTTTCCACAGCGGAGAGGCTTCTTCGTACCTTTTCCCAGCTTTATAATGAATGCCCCCACTGGGCATTTTGCAAAGGATCTCGGTTCTTCCTCGGTTTCTGGTGGGATTTGCATGCTTGCTTTCGTTTCTCTTCCGTGTGGAAGATGAAGCGTTTTGAGTCGAGACGAGTTTAATCTTGGGGGAAGTAGAAGAGATTCAAGTCTGTCGGATGGATTGGATGGAAAAGAGGGGTTTTAAAGTCTTACTTGAGAGATCCCGCGATGGTCACGGATGCGCGAGGACGCGAGAGTCTCGTGGTTGCGTAAGCGAACGTCACGGTATAGGATGAGGGATATCCTGGGAACATTTGGTGATGGGCATTTGTCCGCATCTTCATGTGCACGTCACGGTTTTGGCGCTCGAGAAATTCCCGCCAGCTTTGACGCAAATTCCATATACTTTTCTACTCGCGCTGTGTCGGACGTGTGCATGGGCCTTGGTAAGGTGGCCATGCAGCGCAAGCGTCCCGTGAGCCGCCCGATTCGCGGGGATCTGGCGACTGGCGCGCGTCCACGTGAGTGCGTGGTCCCAGATTCTTCTTCTTTTTGACTTCACCTTTTACGTGATAGTAAAGCCTTGTCGCCCGGTTTGTTGTGCCATATACCACTTTTTTACATGCCGTAATCCTCTTGCCTTAGAATTAGGAAGGGAGGAATCGTTTTTATTGCCAATATTTTTGTCTATAGTCAACTCCATTCACCATGGTTCTTAGTTTAAGGCAACGTGTAGTTCTTGTGCTTGAAATTGGCATTAATTGGGTTACTATGGCCTTGAAACACTAGCAGCAAAGAAAAAAGTTTAGGGACCTTGGAATCGATGAGCAGCTCCTTGGATCGAGCAGGATTAACGTTCCTTGCACGCACAGATAGATCAGTGGTGACACTGTTTGGGATGAGGTCAAATTCCACGCCAATTTCAGGGCAAGATTCAACCAGCGGCATTGACACCACTTCTAGAAATAATAGATGATCGATCAGCCAGGAATGCCTCGTGCTTTACATTAATCCCTCACAAGCTTGGACTCAATTATAGATAGAATAAGATCTCATTTGAAGCACAAGTGGAACAGTGGCCATGCCTTATATGAAAAAGGCAAGGTATAGAAAAACTTACCACGTTTTAATTAATAAGTTGCAAACAAAACATGGATGTTTATAAAATCTTGCTCAACCAGCCTGGCAAGATTTGCCGTTTGATGCAATCACAATTTTGTTTCAATCAAGTGCTTTCTTTTTGACATGACATGGGAGGGACTTTAAATACCAAAAGAAACACCAGATTGTATATTATGTTTGTCCTCACTTTTTGCAACTTCTATTTCCTTTCTTCTTTGAATCTTTTACTTACAAAATCATAAAGTTTCTATCCAGCGTCTCTTAATAATAAGACATGTTGTCTTGTAGCGCCCAACTAGAGGCATAAGACTACAATGCAATGGTTGCAAATTGAAAACCCTATCACTCTTGGTCTAGCTAGTCTTCAGTATTGAGTACGCACATCCTTTGCCAGTCAGGTTTGACATAAGAATGCAGTTCCTTAAGAACTGGTTGGATCAAAAAGAATATTTGAGATTGTATATAAACTTTGATGAACTTTCAGGGCCAG